TGGGGGGGGGGGGGGGGGGGGAGAAGTAAAGAAAAGAAAGGGGCCCAAATACTTTCGGGCAATATAGAACACACCTCCTCCAATAGATATATGAATCCCGTACGCCTATGAGTGTACTACAGTACATTTAAATATATTGCTCTCATGTGCATAGAGAGACAAGGTACGAAATTAGAATCTATAAACAATCAACTTTAATACATGCATGGTTGGGTATACAAAAACGTTTTGATGTAAAAAACGAGTTTCTTTCTTGTTGCTTTGAGCTATTAGGCTATATTAAAACAGACGAAACAAGTAGTAAGCGCATATATTAAGTGAAAGTGAAACTTATTCTCAAACAAATCAATGAACCAAGACTGCATGTCGTAATCTCTCTGAAAGGGCGAAGCAGTAACTAAAGGGTGTATATATACAGGCATCTAATGGCAAGTTATTTAACAATCACACAGAGGGGTTATCAGCAACCTTACAATTTTAGGACGGCAACACGACAATGATGGCCAAAACAAACTCCTTCAAATAAATGGTAGTATTGAAGACAATTTGTGGTATTAAGTTCTTTGAATGTTTGCATGGCGATAAAATATAATTGTTTTTGTTTGTGGAAACACCACGTAAATTTATTACTGCAAAGCTTTCGATCCGTAAGCCCGGATCTTCATCAGTGCTAATAATATGTGACTTGTTTAATTCACACGCTCCTTTTATATACAAGAGTGTCGTGATCTGTTGGCTTGCGTCATTTGAAATTTAATTAAACGGCACATCAACCACGTCATTTCAAACGTATGCGAAAACAAATTGTTTCGAGCACTATGCACACATAAGGACAACGTAAATGAATATCAGAAACCTGGTGTGTACCGCATTCCTTGTGAATGTGGTCTGGTTTACATTGGTGAAACTGGTCGAAATCTCTCAGTACGGCTTAAGGAACACAAGACGAATTGCGAGAAAGCCGAGCAAGATAAATCTGCTGTGGCTAAACATACTTGGACTTACGACCATCGTATAAAATGGGACGAGGCAACCATTTTGGCGATTGATAGTCATAAGTTCTCTCGCAAAATGAGAGAGTCAATTGAAATCGAGAAGCACAATACTATAGATCAGGAGGGAAAGCCACTAGATAGTACGTGGCGTGCTCTCTTTAATGTGCAAAATTAATTTCTCTTTGTCTTGGATGCGCGCACGTTAATTGGAATCACTTCACTACGTTTGAAATGACGTGGTTGATGTGCCGTTTAATTAAATTTCAAATGACGCGAGCCAATAGATCACGACACTCTTGTATATAAAAGGAGCGTGTGAATTAAACAAGTCACATATTATTAGCACTGATGAAGATCCGGGCTTACGGATCGAAAGCTTTGCAGTAATAAATTTACGTGGTGTTTCCACAAACAAAAACAATTATAATTTGTGGTATATTAGCAATCGTATGGACTTAATGCAGTCTTAGAAGTTGAAGACATGAGTTTTATGTTTGGGAAGAGTTCTGCTGAAGCCAGTTTGAAGTTGCGGCTTGAAATGCAGCCGTTGTATCAAGACGTGAAAATCTGTGATTTGGCGTTGTAAACAGAGCAAGGACAATGTCTAAATTATTCATATACTGCAATTATTGAATTCTGTGTAATTATTTATTGTACTATTTGTAGCCGTTGCCGTCCTAAATCGTAAGGTGTCTATTTAAAAACCGGGGAACCATGCAAGGTAAGCATGGTTAAAAATTTTTCGAGTATGTGGATGTATACATGCACATGCATGGTTTACGCTACTCATACGTTTCTCTCATACGCAATAGTGTGACAGGACCTTAACCGAGATCAGCATGTAATTGCAGTTCTTAAAAAAACATGAAAATATTAAACATGTATAAAATATTTGTTTAATTTTACAGTGTCAAAATAAATCTGCACTATGTTTTTGAAACAGTAAACAGTTTTGTATGTTTTTAATGCGAAAAATTTAAGTAAATACAAAAAGAAATTATAGCTTATAATCAGAGGAAGTAGCAAAAATTGACTATATTCATGACACGCTTGTCAGGTGAAAAACACACTGCCCCAGGGCCGGATTAACCTTTCGCGGGGCCCGTGGCATTTTTTCAGCGCGGGGCCCCTACAACCCCCCCCCCGGCGGGCCCAAATTCAGAATTCCCTGAAATCAGAAAAATTAAAAAATATCAATATGTATACCATGATGTGAAAAATTGCCTGTATATTGAAACAAGAACGCATGTACATCAATTTGAACTGTCATACAACCCAACTTATAGCAATAACAATAATTTCACAATTATTAGAGAACTTAATAAAGTAACAGTCAAACCTAGTCAACTGACTAAACATTCATAAATTTCATATACATGCTCCAATGCCGCCGCATGTAAAATGTTCATGTGATGTAACATATCTTTTATTAAGATCTCATTCTGCAGAGGCTTTGTAAATGTTGTGCTTACGCGAGCAAACTCGTTAATTATCGACGACATGTCAATGCTACGCAGAAGATCACTTTCAATACTAAGTACAATAAGGCTGTTTAGTCGCTTCTGTGTCATGCATGATCGGAGCTGATTCTTAATTAGCTTAAGTTTAGAAAAGGACCGTTCTCCAGAACAGTTCGAGATCATGAGACTAAGATAGATCCGCAATGCGATTGCAGTGTTCGGAAATACAGTTTCCAGATTGTTCTCCAGAAGAAGCCTGTACATGCGCAATTCCAATGAATCTACGTTCAATGTGACGTTGTTGTCATCTTTCATTAAGTCATCTTCGTCGTCAGATTCATCAGAGGATGTATCGTTCATAGCTGGTGAAGAAGTTGCAGAAGCAGTAGTCACATGATCCAATGATTTCATAGCAAAATCTGTGCGGAAAAAAACAGAAAACTGTACTAATTCATCAGACAAACTGGCTTCTAGATCTGTCGGGTATGCCTCTTGGAAAATCATCGCACTTTCGACCACTTCTTCAACTGAAAGGTCCTTGAGCTTTTGTAGAAAGCCAAACCTTGCAGCAATTCCGGTGTATGCGCCATGCAGTCGTTTCCGCAACTCAGCGTCAATTTTGTCGATTATGACAAGGAACGTATCCATACGGAACTTATTGGCAGGGGTCTGCGACACTTCCGGCGCAGATCCTGGCTCATCGTAATGGCGATTTCTCTTACACACTCGTTTCTCTTCGCCGACGTACTGGTCACATTGACCGAGCTTCTTTCCTTCAGCCTCAAACTTTTCAAATCTTGGACGCTGCTTACCGATAAAATCCATGAGTGATTCATAGATTGCAACTGCGGAGTTGAGATCTTGGTCGGCTGATTGCAGGGCTTGACTGTTCGTGTGAAAACGATGCAGGATGTGATGCCACAGAGCTGCCAGAATCCCGGTTTCGAGTTGGTTCATTTTGGTTGCAAGTCCACGGGCTTCCTCTCAGGTTTCGGCTTTCTCCTCTTCGTCGTCTGCGATTTCTACCAATGCGTCGTTAATTTCATCATAGCCCTTGACTAGAGCCTTTATGGCATCTGCGCGTGCTGACCAGCGAGTATCTGACATGCGTTTGACTGTTGGCAGGCCCTCGCTTGACAGTTGATCCATCAGAACTTTCCAACGATGCGGTGAAGCAGAAAAGAAGGAGTATAGTCCTTGAAGGAACCTGAAGAATCCAATGGCCAGCGTGCAACAACCTACTGCAGTCTGACCAACCAGATTGAGGGAATGTGTGGCGCAGTGTACATACTCAGCCAGATTACATTGGTGCCGAATAATGGCCTGCATGCCATTATATTTTCCGCTCATATTGCTCGCATTATTGTAAGACTGACCGCGGCAATCGGCAATAGCGATGTCATGGGCTTTCAAAAACTTGAGCAAGCTTTCTGCTAGTTCTTTTCCAGTGTGACCTTGCAGAAAAGTTAAATATTGTTCAACAGGACCTGATGGTAAAACGTACCGAAGAATGCAGGTGAGTTGGTCAACATGGGAAATATCAGGGGTCGAATCCACAGAAACAGAGTAATACTTGGCGGACTTCACCTCCGTAACGATATACTCGTGTACGCGATTTGCTAACAAATAGATAAATTCATCACAAATTGTCTTCGACAAATAGGAAGTGTGACCTCGTCCCTTGTTTGTGTTACGTTTGATGTGTTGCACAAGAAATGGATCGAATATGGCCAGCAGTTCCAATGTACCCAAGTAGTTACCGTTTCTGGGTGATCCGACTATTTCATTTGAGCCACGAAATGGTAGACCACGCTCAGATAGGTAATGGATAGTTTCTACTATCCGTTGAAGTATACAGCACGCCAATAATCACGTTCTGCATTGGCCTGGTTTACTAGTTCCACATGAACACAGCAGCCAGCATCACTGCGTTGGAGGAGCTGAATTATGGCCTCTAGGTGCAATGCACTTTTTTCGTGGCATGGGATTTTATTGGATGCGTGTTTCCAATCCTTATATCCTAGCTTCCCAAAAACATTACTGTCGTTCATCAGTTTACATGCAAAGCAGAACACTGCATGTTTAGATGGCGAGTAACAGAGCCAGCTTTGAGGGTGTTGCTGTTTTGTGAGCTCATGCGTGTACGTGAACAAGCTTTTCTGGCACTGGCGTTTGTAATTATCTCCCTCAAATTTGCTGGAAGATGGGCTGAAATCTGCATCCAAATTTCTACATTCGCTACTTCCTTTTGCTACCCAGTATTTTCTCATACTATCCGAAACATAGGGAGGCCACATCCCTAAATCACAGGAATAGGCATCTGTAGATGGATCGCCAGAAAGGTCAGATGTTATTGTTAGCGTTTCATCAGATTGCTCGGGCACAGAATCTGTCACTATTGTCGCAATGGTGGCTGTATTATTAACGGCTGACTCAACAGGATTGCGAAGGGCCTGTGCGCTGCAACCAGTTGCATTGTCACCAATATTGCCACCGCTGGTCTTTGGGAAAAACAGTGTGGATATCTTAGGGACTTTACTCAAAACCTTACTTTCCTGTACTACACGTTCCAACTTTGCCTTGCGTTTTGCCGCTCCAGATTCATATTTGTGATTTTTATCCCGGTCGCGGCCACCGCCACGTCCACCTTGGGAACTCATAGAGCCTATAGCTCGTCTGTAGCAAACTCCGCTGTCTCCGCAAAGTAGCACACCTAAACATTAAAAAACTCTTGTATAAATATGTATAATGCGACGCTTTATCAATAATTATCAATAATTATCAATATGCGTTGTCAGCATTGAAATTTCATACAAATTTATAGGGCATTAGCACTTCTGACTCGTCCCCAGTCATCTCTGTGAGCACGTGCAAATTGGAAAGCACGTGCAGGGGGTTAGCGCTTCGTTCGAAAATGCGCAACATTTGATTTATATTTGATTAAATGACAAACTCTAACATCAGTTCAAAATGATAATTAAAACATACCAAGGTTTAGTTCCTTTCCAAAGAGAGCATTTGAATTTGATATATATCTGAATATCTCGACTAGTCAACTGTCTCAACTGTCAGTAAGAATTAAATACGTTTGTATACTTGTAACTCGTTATTTGTAAAGTGAGACATCGTGTCAAGTGACACCTGGCTCTGGTGACACAAATACACAATGAGTCATTTTTGTGGGTAGCCGCGCATGCGCAGCTAACCACTATGTGAGAGACTGAAGCGCGATCTTCCATGGCTCTGTTTCTCTGTAGCCTTCGTGTCCGCGGTGTCCTGCTGCGCGGTTCCTTTTATCCCAATCATCCTTGAAATTCGAACCGTCTATAGACCACAGGCTAAGTTCTAGACCACGCTCATACTGTATAGAGACAGTCTATAGACCACTGGCTAAGTTCATAGGCCTTCATAACGCTCATACTGTATAGAGATGTATATAAATTCTTAGTAAAGTCTTTATTGTAATATGTTATGTTTCGTCTGGTTGAAAGTCATTAGTCCAACGCATATAGAAGCGAATATGTTGTTGTTTATATCAGTCACAGCTTGTACAGGGATCATTGGGGTTAATATTAGCGCACTTGGTCTGTTTTATATCGTGTAATGTCATACAGTAGTTTAATAAAGACGACTGACATATCAGTCCCCATAAAACTGGGGGACTGCCACGCAGGCTATCAAACATACTGTATTAGAATAGTTTGATCAACATTGTATATTTTAGTATGATTTATCAGGTTGAAAGTCATTTCTAACGCATATAGAATCGAATATGCATGTCGTTCAACATTGTATATTTTAGATTTATGCGCATGTTAATTGAAATGTTTACACATACATTACAAATCACGAGGCATATAATTTTGTTAACAAGTTGCATCAATTTTGTTCCTCGTATTACTCTAGCAGGCTACCCACATGTATGCAGCGCGTACCTATTTTTAACAATAATGTCATTTCACAGGCTTAAAATAGAAAAGGAGTAATGATTCTAAGGGCCTATACCTGAATAAGTACTAAAAATAAAAAAATAAAAAACGTACCTGCCTACTTGCATGATTGTTGAATGATGGCTTCAGGCTTGATAAAACTCTGTCATCTTCTGAAAACTATTCTTGCCGTATTTATAATTTTATATTAGACTATTAGTTTAGAGTAAAGCTTTTAACTGAATTAACTCCAATTTCTAAATTTTCCGACCACCCTGCAATTTTCTTGGGCAAAGCTTTATTTGGTTGCAAGGGTGCCTTTTTGACTTTTTGGACCTCGCCTTTTGATTTCTAAGGCCTCACGTTTTTTTTTTATTTTGGTCCGATCGCTTAAGCTTTAATAAAGGCCTTGCTTTTTATTTCTGGGGCCTCGCTTTTTGGAGAAACGTTATTTTACTTTTGTGGTCTTGCAGCTTTTGGCGCCCTTTTTTAGTCCAGCCACGCGCCAAAAAAATTAAAACTGAGTAAAGCGCGGGGCCCCTAAAAGCGCGGGGCCCATGGGCAGAAGCCCCTTCTGCCATATGGTTAATCCGGCCCTGCACTGCCCAAAGATTTTATTATTTATTCTAGTAGATGTGTCATAATACTCAGTAGCTGCAATAGATTGGATATCTGATACCGTTGCACTTTTGAGAAAAAATAATTTACCGCCAGCATACTAACACTAATATTTAATCCGCTGTCTGAAAGACGTTTCTAAAAATATACAATATTTTGTTTGCTTCAAGTGATCAGGATAATTTTTAGTTTAGGTTTATTCCTAGGCAGGACATAATAAAATATATAAGTTTCAAGAAGTTAGAATAAAAGCGCGAGATGAACTGTGAGATATAAAATAGCTCAAATATCACTTGCTTGTTTAACACGTCCGAAAATAATTGTGAAATTTTTTTTAAAACTGACTACAATTTCAAAGTCAGCATTTTTTGTTCATTTTATGAATGACTTCTTCCACACAGAAAGTTTGAAGGAATTCTGTAATCTTACGAAATTCGAGTGGTCGGTTTTTACACGGACTGCCTCTTAAACACATGTGGTTGCAATTATTGCGATTACAGAGCACATAGAACTAATGATTGCTCAAAAGTGGTTATGATGTCAGCTCGTAAACAAATAAAAATACATTAAATGTACTTTATTATGCATTAGTTTATCCATATCTTACTTATGGGAATTTAATATGGGGTAACACGTACCCAACAAGGCTGCTAAAAATACTGAATTTACAGAAAAAAATGATCAGATTGATGAATTTTAAATCTTATCTAGAACACAGTGAACCATTGTTTCAAAAATTGAATATCTTTAAAATTAATGACTATTTAAGTTGTTTATTTATTTACCCGTTTTAAACATTTACAAAATCTACCTGAATTTTTGAATGGCTACTTCATACAAAACAATGAAATGCATCATTACAATACTCGGAATTCTAACAAATTGCAATTCAATTATAGAAGAACTAATTATGCAAAACATACTATTGTTAATAAGGGAGTTAAAATATGGAACTCTCTTGATAAAGAAACTAGCAATACTATGTTTTATTCTACTTTTAAGAAAAAGTTGAAAATCCTTTTCTTGGAATATACCTAACGGCTTTCATTTGTAATCTCACATAATAAACTCTTGTAAATTGTGTATATTTATGTTCAAATCACTATACTTGTAAATACTCTTACTTTGTCTTTGACAAGATTGAACAAGCTTTAACCATTTCTTTCATGATCGATAATTAATATTGTTAAACTAGGGGCCTTTGAATAAAAGTCTGATAGGGTTTCATAAAAGTTCCTAGCCCTTAATGTTTGTACAAACATATATTGAAAATATATTTAGCTTTATATGGGCAAATAAAAATCTGTTGAGATATGATCTTCAGTTACATTTAGTCCAATCATTAGGGCTATCCGCATTATGACTTTTTCAAAATTCGATGAGCACTCTAGCCCAATATTTAAATCATTGAAGATTATAAAGCTGTGTGATCTTGTCACCCTACATATTGCAATATTTATGTTTAAATTTCATCATCAGATGTTACCTCCTGCCTTTGAGTTGTTTTTTACACCAGTGGAAAATGTTCATAATTATAATACACGTTCACTGGCTACACAGTCTTACTATCTCCCAAAAATAAGAACAAATTATGGTAAATTCAATGTACGATTTCAGGGACCTACAGTTTGGAATGCAATTGATTTCATGTTAAGTCTCTTTCATTTAAAAAATTCAAAAAATATTTAAAACAAAATTTTATAAGTAAATATTAATTTTGTAAAAATAACAAAAAACTCCAGTATATGTTTATTTGTATTATATAAGTCGTCTGTCTTCATAGTCTGTCTTCATGTGTATATACAGTATAATTGTATTTTTTGCTATAATTTTGTATGTGTACATGTGCTTTATGTAATTTAGCAATCAACTTGTAAACTGGCTTCCCACCCCTTTAACTTTGTGGTTATTTTGGGAAGTCAGTGTCTAAGTATTGTAAAATTTCTTTATGTGTAAGTATGTATGTTTTGTTTATGGATTAAAAACGTTGTTGTTGTTGTTGTTGCTAGTTGTTTGGGACTATCTAATAGCAGCGGTGGTATACCTGTAATTTCAATGCAGTCATGGTGTAAATACTGTTGAACATCATCCAAAGCCATGTTGCTGTTATCATTCTCATTACGATTTACTACTTTCAAGGTCTTCAATGCTTCGCTTTATATATGTGACTTCTTTATTCGTCCCTTGCAGTGAGCGTTTGAAGTTATCATATTCGTTCAATAGGTACTTTTGAGAGCTTTCAATTTCATTGCACTTCGCTGCGACCGATGTTATTTTGGATTTTAGATCCTCTATCTCTGATCTAAGCTCTTTTTGTATGGGTAGAAATTCTTTCACCCATAACTCTTTTATTGAATCAATAATCAAAGAATCAGGGTTATTTCATAATTTCAAAGGCATTTCAGGAGAGCTCTCAACACACATCTTGCTTAATTGTGCACTAAATCAAATATTTGTTAAACTAAATTCACAAATATTTCAGGCTGTCAGACAGCCCGTGCAGAAGTCTGGTAATAGTATCAGTCTGCTAGTCCATGTCCGCTAGTAGCTAACCAGCAATCAGCCCCTATCACAGGCTAGTAAGCCTGCGATCATGCATTCATGCTGTGACTGTCATTTAATTTCACGTGTTAATGTCATTACAGTATAAATGAGTATACCTGAGTTTGGGGCAGAGAGGTGGCAGTTGGATAATGTGATTTATGATGGACCTGCCTGGGAACTTTCGAGGAGTGTGCAAGTGACATAGAAATACTACTGTGAAGTGTGTAAAATACAGGCAAACGAAGCAAATCTCCCACACTTGTTCTTGTCGTTGTACGGCTTTCAAGCACTAAGTTATGAGATAAATACCAGGGAAAATCACTTCTAGAAACTGTACTAGATTTTTGGACTTTTAAAAGTCTGGTCATTTTGTGGTTGGACTTTTTTTTTAAATCTCTGGACTTTTTGTAGAAGTAAAACAATATTTTTTTATTAATTGTTTTCAATATGCTGGTCAAGCTATGTAATGCAGTAAAACGCAATAAATATTATGTCAGATTTTCCCAGCAAAGAGATAATAAAAAAGTATCTTATTTGTGGTGTTACTCTGAGTGTATATCCACACCGGGCGAGCTTGAAAAATATGCCCGGCCACGGTGAAAAATATGCCCGGCCTTTGGAATACTAGCCCAATGCTCTTCCAACTGAGCTACGCGGTCAGGATGGTTCGAGTAAGTGATATTTCGGAACAGGATCTAGTTCCTTCGATACCAATGTATTCTAGTAATATGAATTTTTTCTGTGTTGGTGTAGTGTACTCAGGTGAATATGATATTTGTGGTGTTACTCTGAGTGTATATCCAAACCGGGCTAGCTTGAAAAATATGCCCGGCCACGGTGGGATTCGAACCTACGACCTTTGGAATACTAGCCCAATGCTCTTCCAACTGAGCTACGCGGTCAGGACGGTTCGAGTAAGTGATATTTCAGAACAGAATCTAGTTCCTTCAATACCAATGTATTCTAGTAATATGATTTTTTTCTGTGTTGGTGTAGTGTACTAAGGTGGATATGATATTTGTGGTGTTACTCTGAGTGCATATCCACACCGGGCGAGCTTGAAAAATATGCCCGGCCATGGTGGGATTCGAACCTACGACCTTTGGAATACTAGCCCAATGCTCTTCCAACTGAGCTACGCGGTCAGGACGGTTCGAGTAAGTGATATTTCAGAACAGAATCTAGTTCCTTCAATACCAATGTATTCTAGTAATATGAATTTTTTCTGTGTTGGTGTAGTGTACTCAGGTGAATATGATATTTGTGGTGTTACTCTGAGTGTATATCCACACCGGGCGAGCTTGAAAAATATGCCCGGCCACGGTGGGATTCGAACCTACGACCTTTGGAATACTAGCCCAATGCTCTTCCAACTGAGCTACGCAGTCAGGATGGTATCGAAGGGGTATCGAAGGAACTAGATCCTGTTCCGAAATATCATTTACTCGAACCGTCCTGACCGCGTAGCTCAGTTGGAAGAGCATTGGGCTAGTATTCCAAAGGTCGTAGGTTCGAATCCCACCGTGGCCGGGCAT